TAAACATCGTTCTTCATTCCATGAATACTAAAGACAGAACAATACTTGTATTATCAAGTAAAAAGCATTATCAATCCAATTTATCTTGCAAGATTCGATTTCCAATATTGCAGGATTTTCGAATACTTAAAATATTTTACTGACTATTCTATCGTTTACATGCGTGTCCTTAACATATAATCACACGTTTCACGCGTGTGCGCGTGCGACCGACACGCGAAACCGAGAAGCAACGGCGCGTTATCGCACCTTTACGCTCTATCGGACTGCCTGCGGTTCTTCGTCTTCGTCAGCGATTTTTCGTGAAAAAAAAAGAGCCGTGGGCGAGATACTACCCTATCATGAGCCATGTCACGCACACACATGCGTGCCCGTCGAACAGCGACAGCCGAGAGTGAAAAACGGCGCGCTCGGCGAACCGGCGCGCGATGCGGCGAGGCGATTCGAGTCGAATCGCGGGAAAATCGGTCCCGGAAAATTAACGACGCCCGCGCATCGCCGCGATTCGCTACCGCCGGCAAACGACAGCCGCGTAATTAATAGAAACAGCGGCGAGAGCTTCAGCGTGGAAAAATATCGGATCTTTCGCGTTTGCGACGCTCGATATCCTGTAATAACGAAGTCCCTCCTTAGTTTTCCGATGATATGTAATCGCGTAATCGCGAATGGCATCCGCGCAAAATGTGTCGATTATTTATTGATTCTTTTATTATTCTCTTTTATCAATTATTGAAAGTTATCGCGACAGAAACAATTAAGAAATGCACTACTCAGCGTTTCGTTCAGCATCGAGAATAACTGCCACAGTTATAAACAGTGTGTCCGATGAATATATCTAATGTTTGAATAAATGAATGAATAATGAATACAATTTTCTTGTATTCGTGGAAGATGAAATACGGGAGATCGGGACTGGCTGTCATAGGGGTTGATTGTCAAAAAGCTAATAACTATATTAAGGCCATTCTCTTCTTTTTACTGTAAGTTGCTGATATAATATTGAGCTTTGTGTAAAATGACTTGCACCAAAAGAGTCGTGTATATTACTTACAATGACTTTTAAGAAAATGAAGTTGATAAGCAATTTTTTCTTGTCATCTTTTTAGTTCTTTGATTAATTTTTGGTATTATCAATCACGATTTCTCTGTGATCTTAATCGTAAAAAATGGTATGTCTTTACATTTTATTTGAATGAGTATGAATACTCGTTAAATAAATAGTCATAAAATGTTGTGAATTAATATTTATGAAAACCTATGGTTTTGTATAAATGTAAATTATAAATATTTGTTTAAATGTGAAAATTTTGAATAAAATTATAATTGTATCTCAATTATGAGTTTTGTATTCATTGAATACAAAAACTCATACTAGATAGAGATAACAATTATATCATAATTAAGCAATTAAATATGACGACAACACGAGATGGAAAAATAACATTCTGCCTCTTATACTAACGCTTTCATGTAATTTAATTATTTAAGAATAAAAAGAAAATTTTTTAATTGTTTTTTTATAGAATTATAAAAGAGCACTGTCACAATTGGTTTTATCTTAAATATCCTCATAAAGGTTTTTTAAAATAAATCCAATACGATTTATATCATGAATGCTGTTTAATTATAAAATGTGACTCATTATAAGATGTGAGATATAAAATAAGAACTTGTTTTCGTGGAGGTTCAGTGAAATTGTCTACTTTAATGACATTATTGTGCAGTAATTTTCTTCCCGCAGTTGATTTCTTCTGTATTCATTCTCTTCTACGATTTTTCTTTTGTTCGTAACAATGAGGGGTGTAAAATCACAAAAGATTCATGTCACACAGTCGCACGTTCCTCGAACAATCGTTGTCAAATTATTCAATAAAATATCCCTCGTCCGTGTCACCGCCGCCGCTATTCTGCCGTTTCGAATCCTCTTCCGGTCGTTCGGGATCCAGTTCCTGCTTGTGCAGGTCCGTTCCAAAGGGGAGGAAGGGGCTGGAAGTTCACGTTCCAAATGCCTGCGACTTCCGTGCTGCGCCAGCATTACGTGGCACAAAGTCCCGTTCTCATATTACGAGCCGTGTGGGGTTCGAGAGGGCATGGGGATCCTTATAACAGGGTACGCGTGGCTCGTCAGAGCGCTCGTTGCATTGTATCCCCCTTGTGATTGCCTTGGCCTCGCGACGAAAGCGGAGCGATTGCTCAAGACCCATTCGCGAACATAAAGCTGTCTCAAGACATATGGCCTTACCGAATTACGAGATTGGTATTCAAAATATTTATTTAACATAATTCCCCCATTTTTAAGATTCTAATAAAAGATTAGCTTAACATAACGTACAAATATACACAATACATTTAAACTACATAACAAGATTTATAGTGTCTATTTTATAGTTTTGAATCGATAACAAAAAAAAATATTGAAGACTTCAAAAATAACAAGTATTATAATAATGATACTATGAAATATCGTAATATTATTTATAGAATAATTTACATAGAAATAGCGCTCTCCTATTTTCTTATCTATATAGAACAGTTCATGAGAGTGAACTGACACTTTTGTGATAAAGTTACTATAGATAATTATTACTGTTAGCTAAAGAGACGTCTAAAGCGACAGCTGTATTAAGAACATTAGATACTGTCATAGTCATAGAATAAAATTCCCTCGAGATGAATTTCCACACGTGGCTGTGTTTCTAAAGATTAAGAATGACGAGTGTGCATAGATTATTCATGGAATTATGTTGTTACTCGCTATTCTGAAACCTTATTTTAAAGACTAATAATAAAAACTGAAACATTTTTATTTTTAAATATTTCTGTTAAAACTTTATATCTATGTATTCTATTTTCTATATCAGAATATTAAATTATTAAGATATATTAGCGATTTTTTATACTATAAAGTATATACACTTCATTGAAATTTAATACAGTCAAACAGAAATTAATAAATGAAATGCTTATGTAAGAATAAAAAAATATCTCATATGATTAATTTTGAAATAATAATAGAATCGTCAAACTATATCTATGTTTAAAAATCATAGAAATTGTATTAAAGTACGAAAAATAGAAGAATTTAAAGAATATAAATTAAAGAAGTAAAAATGTCAATCAAAGCCAACATTAGATGTTTATATGTAAATTTAAATTCTTTATTGAATATCAAATTTAAAATCCTACGCTTTTGTGTCATCTTCAATAATAAACAATTGATGTCGAATTTGTTAAAAAATATTATCGTAATCAGATATAATAAATTATAGAAAGTCACGCTGACATACATGAGCTTTATGTGCGTCAACATGGTTTAACTTCAAAATTGAACCGGAAGTACAATCTCGCCAGATTATAAGTCAAATGAGCCCGCATTATATCGAATCCACAGTCTCGTGTTCGATGTGAATTGTTTAATGTTCTAACTAATATATTAAACTGGATTATCTTCTTCTATTAAAGTAAGTATCAAAGTGATACTTACTTCTTTTATTAAAATGTTACAACTCAAAATGTTACAGAAACGATCGCTCAGAGCCAGTTTTGAATGTACTAGGAAATAATAGATTATTAATGATAATCAATGTAGTGTTTTTATTCATTGATTATAAAATTTGTTATAGAATCAACTTATGTTCCCAACCGCGTCGTAAAATGAAGGTAAAAGATTTCGACAGCCGCGGTATGAAATGTATCGCAAACACCGACCGAAAGTTTATTGCGGACTCGAGAGAAGTACTACGGATTCATGTGTTTCATAAAACCTTGCGTATATCGAAATTTATTTCATCTCCCAATCGAGGAAGAGCTACGTGAGAGGAGAAGGTTTGAATATCACAATGATTCTTCTAAAGAATCTGCATGGGACGTATATCAATTTTACATTGTATGTGTGCGAAGTGTATCTTTTTTCTCTCAAGCTTTAAATTCATGATTGTAACATGTATACTGAAAATCGATTTTGGAATCGTAGTTTACATGTCATAATGTTCGAATAATTCTTTTAATGATATACATTCTAAGTTTCAACAGACATCAATATGATAATTTACGATTGATTTTACAATGCTAAAACTATCACTGGAGATATATTATCGAGATATTTTTTATGTATTTTCATACTATGTGTATCTCAGTGTAATATTATGCGTACACGATAAAAATTAAATAAAAAATTGAAATTAAATATTTACGTTATAAATAAATTCATAGAACTACATTCTGTTTTTTTATTAAAAATATAAAAAAAAACAAAATTAAAATGACTCATTTACATTAAATACAAATAAAATGCCTGTATGTATGTATTCATAAACGATAAAATACAATTTTCAAACAATTAACATATATTTATCAAATGAAATTGTGCAATAAGTAGTGAAGTCGCGCTGAAGAGGATTCAAATTCAGAGTCGAGACGACTTTGTGTGCTTACATTTTAATTTCATTTGTACGTACATCTTAACTATTTATATTTTATTCCTTTATGAATATTTAATTTACGCGTCAACAACCGCGGAGGCTCACATTAGACATTTTATTTGTGTAGATATTTATTTGATTTGGATTTATTCTTGAAGCTATAAAAATTATAATATTATTTTACTTTATTTTATGTACATATTATTATTTTATTTTAATTCGTTTAATTATTTATCAAAAACATTCCTTGAATAACAGCGACAGAGAAGTTTACTTACAATTAGTTGGCGTCTCTTATTTCGTTTTCTATGTTTAAAAAAAAAATTTTCCATGTATCTGTCAGATCAATCGTGATTTCTTGAGAGTTAATAAGCAATGATAAAATTGCAGAGTCGTAATCTGTCGTCCGGGATGATATAGGAGAACGAGAAATGTGCGTGTACTCGTTTTGCTTCTCGGCGGAGTGTCTATTCTGTGTCTTATATCGGAGTTAACGTCTTAATTCTCATTAGTCACGTAGGTTGCGAATTAAATGACGCTTAAGCGCACGAGACCAAGGCATAATTGGATGGTACGTACTGTCTCCGTTTTACACGAAAGATCATCAGTGTAAGAATTAATCCGTTCGTTACTTTGCTGTCCTAACTTATGGATGGACGATCCAGTAATTCCCGTGTAGAGTTTCTCCAAAGAATTCACGAGAATTTACTATAAGAACCTGTAACAAAAAAGATAGAACTATTTTTAGCTTAGAAAGACTAAATGTTTTGACAAAGTGCATGTATGCTTTTGTAATAATATGAACTAACGTTAAAAATTATATAAATTATAAAAATTATAATCACAGTATTAATTGATCAGTTACATCACTCACACACGAAAAAAATGTTTGGTTGAATTAACTGAAATCCTGATGGAAAATGATCTAGAATTTTTGTTAAATCTACTAGATTTCTGATTAAATCTACTAAATGTTAGTTATTTCAATATGAATTTTAATAGATTTAACCAGAAATCTTGTAACTTTAACTAGAATTTTGGATCATTCATTTTTCATCAGAATTCTAGGTAATTCAACCAAACATTTTTTTTTCTGTGCATCTGATCAATTTGTTCTTAACAAATGAATGTACATTTATTATTTTATATAAGCGGTTCTTGGAAAACTGGCATGCATGTGTGTAATTATCAAGTTTGTTTTTAGCACTATCAAAACACTGTTATAATGTCAATTATATTCAATTTCAATTATTTCTAATCATTTGTGTAGGTCATTACGTACATTCCGATTCAGTGGTTAATTTAACTAAAACAATGGAATTAAATAGTTTACAACTCAAGAACTAAGAAGTGTATTAAATTTGACTTAAAGAAATTTATTATGTAGTAAGTGCATACATTAACATAAACATTATTTACTTTAAGACTAAACAATTCAACTACAGTAAAAGATTGATTTACATTTTGACACACATGAAAATTCAAAGTAACAAAATGTTAAAAATAACAAAATTTAACTCAACGGATTGGGTTACCATCCTTTAATATAACAGTGCAAACACGGATTATCTAAAATTAAAACGCGTGTGACCACGAATTGGTGACAATGACGAACGACGGAAGATCTGTTTTTAGCACACTGATAAAACGGTCGTACACGTCGCGTCGCGTCGCGTCGCGTCGCGTCGCGTCGCGTCGTGTTCGCGGAAGAAAAAAAGCGTGAGAACTCGTCCGACGAAATTCCTCCCAAAGTGCGGCCGTAATCGAGACGAGTATCCAGACCGGAGGGATGCGCGTCGAGACGAGTACGAGACCGGCTGTTTCAGGGACACGTACGCGTGGGTCGGACCGGAACTGGCATGATTCACGTCGAGCCTGAGCCGTGAGACCCGCGGAATACGATTCGCTGTGTCTCGTCTCGTGTCTCTCTCGCCTCTTGTCTCATGATCCCGCGTTCACGATCCGTGTACGTAAATCCTGGCCGTGTGGGTGCGATGTATCGCAGCATTGACATCGTGCTCCGAAATTCTTCTTAAAGAATTTTCGCATGATCTCATCAAGAAGCAACGAGGTTCGTCATCAGCGCGATTTCTTCTTCGGTCTACAAACAGTATCACTTTATTTGTTTCAACTTGTCGGATAAATATAAATTGTACATGAGATGATACATGAAATGTGTTATAACGTACGGACGAATAAAGATATATGATGGTCTAATTAGACGAATATAATTTAAATGATTATTTTATTAGGTGTTGGAATTAATTCGTAGCGTTTTACAAGTGATGGGAAGTACTTTCATTAATGTATTTTTTAATGCTCATGTGAAATAAATAACATTCTTTCATTAAAAACGCTACGAATTAATTCCAACACCTAATATATAAACTCGGTGATCACATTTTGCAACAAATATACTCACATAAGTTACTGATCTTCTTCTCAGTAAGAAATAGAATTAAATTGATAAGATGATTTCGACGTCAATTCGATATCGACTCGACGTCTAATTAGCGGTTACTTTTTACTGAGTTATGATTAAGAATTAAACTTTGCAAATACAATATTTACTTTCTTACTCGCAACATTGTTCTTCGCTATTATTGGAAAGAACTTTTCAAGTACGAGGATATCGAAATTCTTCAAACATAGGATCCAAGTATTGTAGCATTATATATCTGGATCCAAGTAGTATTACATATCTCCTTTCAAAAGCGAAAAGATTAAGACTGGAATTCGATGGTTGTAAATAATTTTCATTGTTTTATTGAAAACATAATTAATTGCAGGTTCATATTTTGTATTAATATTTCGCAGATCTCTATTTTATGAATCTGTGATAAAACAGTTATTATTTACGATTCACGAGTCTTTAATCTTCAATTATTAGCTCAAATAGAGTCATCAAGTAAATCTTTATCATAATTAATAAAAACTTTTCTGTCACTTCATTTAACCTTAAGTATAGTAATTATTTAAAAAATATTTCTCAAATCTAATAATAGTAATAATTTATTATGGATGATTGTCCATGATATGATTGGAGATATATTGGAAGAAAAAAATGTCGAATACTCGTAAAATGTATTAAATAAAGAATAAAATATATTATTCATCAATTCAAAATGTAATTCATAAATCAGCGTTTCTGAAATTAAAGAATATTTAAAAATAATGAATCCTGAAAGCTTAATATTAGAGATCGACGAATAATCAGAGATTTATGAAACTGTAATTATTCGTATCGGTTTTTATATTAATCTTCTTAAAAACGTTTTTAAAATGCTAATATGGCTCCGTGATTGCTTCATGACATCTTAAGATTATATTTAAGACAGTCTTAAATATGAGACTATAAATATTGATTAAAAAGTTGATTCTAACTGTAAGATACATTCAAACCGCTACTTAAAAGTCCATTGATTCGGTAATATCGCGCATCAAAGGAATCCGCATTACCTCATAAAATGATTCCTGCCGTTCTCCATGCCTACGGGATTTATGATCCACGATCAAGGTTACTACGTAAGGCTAGTCCCGCTACCACGATCGTTCCGCCGCATCTGCGAACATTGTTTTACCGATCGGTTTAGCTCGGACTCGACCGCCCATGCCTCGATTTATCATCAATGCACGCTTTATTTTCTCACGTCCTTCCCCGCTTATTCCCGCACGTCGCGACGTTAGATCTTGATATACCCTTCGCGATCGCCATCCTACGTATATCCGCGTATATCTGCCTATAATTTCCAGGCGGATTCTTTCTACCGATGAAATGTATCCGCCAGTACACACGTACGGCCGGTTCTCTCTCTCTCATCTCCTCTCTTTCTCTAACGCCGACTCTAACTTCCTCTCCATCTCTCTCTGTCCTTCGCCGTTACGTCACGCGCCGTCTGTCTCCGAAAGGGAAGACAATGGACGCGTGGGTCGGGCGCAATGTGTCCGAGGCGTAGCCGCGTAGAATACGTAGGTAGTCCCCGCTCGATCGCGTGTGTGCGATCGCCGACTGACGTAACGCTGGACCCGCACGTACTTAACGATCGCTGCCATTGCGCGTTAAAACGATTACTTCCGCTCGGCCTTACTCGCGAGGAAGAGATACATCGCGACGGGTCCTGGCGGCGGCGGCGGCGGCGACGGCGATGCCATGCTCGCCCGGTTTACGTGCCCCGTGTCTATGGGCGTCTTATGCCCGCCTTCTTACATCATGAAACGAAAAAATTCCGCGGCGTGTGGCCATTAATGCGAGACAAAGCGCGTCGGACGCGCGAGTCTCTCGCGATCTAATCGTCGCGCGAATATTTCACGTCGCATATATTTCGCGCTGCGCCGGAGCGATGCTGTAACGGTAATCTGGTATTGGATTTTATGGAGAAAGAGAGTTTGGAAATTTTCATGCTGGAAATCCTCCCTAAAGTTCTTAAGTGAGATTAAAGTGTAAGTTAAGCATCAAGTCCGACATGAATATGGTTTTTATAGATACGTATTATTTTATAATGATATATATGCGCAAAATGTATAAAGAGAATTCCTTAACACAACGTGTTCTTTTATGAAGTTTCTCATAGCGTTTATGATAATGACGAAATGATAAAACAATTCTGTCTTTTTCATAATTTCCTATATCTCATGTAATCTATGGCTATCTACTTTGCATGCTAAAGGACTATCCGTTGTATCCCTTACGTCGGTTTTATGCCCGTATTTCGTATTCTCTGCCGGTAATACCGCGATGCGAGCTTTTGCGGTCGATCTAATCACCTCTCGAATAATTCACGTGACCCTCTTTGACCGTACTGTTTGAATCGAACATTTAAAGCACACTCTCACTCGTATCTATAAGTTGATCGGAGGTTTAGTCAATTTTTAAAATTTGCCATTTGACTGTAATACCTAAATTTTATGATAGCAAATTAATGATATTTAAACAGTGCAAAAAGCACGAAATATCTTGTATCATTTTGAATATTATTTAAATATTTGTATATATATTACGAATATATTCTATTCTAACATTCTGACACACACATCTCAATAATCCAGTAACAGAGGATATCGCGTAAGCCGTCTAATTATTACAGTGAATCGAAGATCGATCTCCAGCAATCGGCATACGATACGATGTATCGTGTCGACAAACAAGTAATTTACCCACGTGAATGTGATAATAATTCCCTATCCAGCGTCGCAGGATACACTTCTCGCGGCTCCATAAATTTGCAAACGCTCTCGGAAGCGAGTATATGCACGCCGGCCGACCTTTCGCAAGCTCGAAAAGCGAGAGACTGCCCTACTGAGATTATTCTCCATCCAAGGACGTGCAGCCAACGACCACATATGCAGCTCGCTGGACGCGTAACAGCATTTAGAGATTCTATGTTACACTACGGACAAAATGAACTTTTCAACTGCGAGAGTGCATTTTTCTACTTTACTGTTTTACATCCCCGAGATAAAACATGTGTTTGATAACTTTAAGTTTGTTTTATCTGCTTCACACATTCGCGTGTTTCTAAAAAAAAAAAAAAAATAATAATCTCTTGAAGCTGCATTAAAAGCTGCGCCGTCGTTAAAAGTTGTTGTCGCAATAAAAATACTTCTTGACAAAAATGATCTCGACAATTTATCTGACTCGGCAGCAAAAATCTTAAATGTATATATATAATTGTTTATTGACAAACCGCCACCGATCTACTGTATGCGTGTTGAATTATG